GTCATGCATGCACAGACACGCAGCTTTAGTTTCAAGCTGCGAGGCCCGGGACTTGAACTGTGGTCGACTACATGGGAGTCCAGCCGTATAACTATGCCGTCTACCAGTTCCACATTGATTCATTTTTATACGTTGAACTATTCTTGCATTCTGGGAATAAAACCCATTTGGTCCTGATGTTTATTCATAACGCCAAGGGGTTCATGTACTGTACTTGCCAGAGAGAAAGGGAGACAGAGAAAGCGAGACAGAGAGAGAGAGCTCCTTTTAATAGGGCTTGGTCACATAACAGTCTCTTATCCTTCATTTCTCCATTCTTTCAGAATCTGGGGCATGCACCCACACATGTTTTTCAAGCTGCCAGGGCTGGGATTTAGCCCCTGGGATTTAACTGCCATGTGGGAGTTAGCCCCCTTAACCACCCTCACTTGGGGGCAGCCCTATATAATCCTGTCAATATGCTGCTGAATCTGGTTTGCTAGTATTTGTTTGAGGACTTTTGCATCTGTATTCATAAGTGAAATTTTGTAGTTTTGTTTTCTTCTAGTGTCTTTGGCTTTGGTATCAGTGTAATGCTGTCTTTAGAATGAGTCAGGGATTTTTTTTGTTTGTTTTTGTTTTTGTTTTTGAGAGTCTTTACTATAGGGTACGTTGAGCTTGCTGGGGAGACAGAGAGACAGAAAGTGAGAAGTCACTCGCTCGGGGATGGCCACACCACAGTCCTTTCTCCTCTATTCTCCTCTCAGAATTTTGGGCATAAACATACGTGTGCCTGGTGTGAGTTTTAAGCTGCTGGGTCCAGGACTTGAACTGCGGTCAACTATGTGGGAGTCCAGCAGTGTAACCATTATGCCATCTGCTGGTCCTGGGAATTTTCTTGAATCATTTAGAAGACTTTAGAATGATTGGTGTTAATTTTCCTGTAAAGTTTGGTCAAAGAAGAGATGAGTGAGGTATTTTTTTTGTTTGAGTTGTCAAACATGGAACTACATGATTGTCTGGAGAATTGCGTGCTTCCCAAAAGCTCAACCTGAAATTTCCACTTAGTCAGCCAGTTCAGAAAACCCCACAGTATCTGGTAACTACATAGCTTTGTTCTAGACTCTTTCTTCAAATTTATATGCTGATTTACCTAGAACCACATGTTCTATACATTCAAGTCCCTTTTAGGAAATTTAGTTGTGGAGGTTAGGCACCCTCAGAAAGGATACTTTTTTTTTTATTGCCAGAGGGTGTGTGCATGAGAGAATGAGAGAGAAAGCACCCCTAATCATTGGCTAATTCTTTTCTCTCTAGTTCTCCATCCTGTCAGGATCTGAGGCACATATGCGCAGGTCTGGCCTGTGTGGTTTTCAAGCCGCCAGGACCTGGATTTGAACTCTGAGGGTCATATGAGATCCAGCTTCCTTTGTATAGTGCCTGATGACTGTGTGTGGGGCTGGCCCAGGGTTACTTTTGATGATATATTGGGTTGTTGGGAAAATTGTGATGCATTTTTGTGTAGAAAAATAAATCATAACTTTCCTGAGACCATAATAGATTCAGTCTTTAAAATACTTTGCACGTGGGGCTGGCAGGTGATGAGGTGGTTAAGGCCCTGGACTCCCACATGGCCTACCACAATTTGAGTTTTGGACCTGGTGGCTTGCTTTCTCACTTTCCCTCTTTCTGTCTTTGTCTCTTTCTCTAGTCAAATGATAAATAAATAAATAATTTAAATAGTTCTTTTTAAAAAATACTTTGCACATACTGAAATATGTTTTAAAACAATTATTTATTTAATTCCATTTGTTATTATTTTTTAATTTGACCAGAGAAAGAGAGAAAGGGAAAGGGAGAAAGCAAGCTGCTATGTCCAGGACTTGAACCATGGTTGACCATGTGGGAATCTAGTGCCTTTAACCACCGCGCCACCTGCCAGCACCCCGCACATATTGAAATCTTGAAATCATCCCTAAAAACTAGATGAGTGGTCTCAAATTTAATATTAAATATTGAAGTTATGAAGTTTTTGGAAAACAAAGGATTTCTGGGCTTTGTTTTGTTTTTACATCTTTAATAGAGGTGCATTGGTATAGACAGACTTTCCTTTGTTTTCTTTTATCTGCTTAACATGAGGTTTTTGTTTTGTTTTGTTTTGTTTTTGCTATAGGGTGTGTACGCTTGCCAGAAAGACAGAGAGAGACAAAGAGATAGAAAGTAAGAAATCATCCCCCCAGGGGGGATGGCCATGCCGCAATCCCTTCTCCTTCATTCTCCTCTCGGGATCTTGGGCACGCATATACATGTGCCCAGCGTGAGTTTAAGCCACCAGGTCCAGACTCGAACTGCAGTCGAATACGTGGGAGTCCAGCAACATAGCCATTACGCTAAGTGCTGGTCCCCATGAAGGTATTAATTAATGTTCACAGAAACTGCCTACAGATTTTTTTCTTCCAAGGTTACATCCTTTTATTTGAAATTATGCATAGGCCAGAAATAATCTCTTATAGTCCAATAGAGTATGCTTTGCCTATTTTTACATTTTTAGATTCTAACTGGGCATCTGACTGCTCAGCCACTACCACCAGACTGACCAGTAGTGATTATGTGAATTCAATGACTTTCAGACATTTCCACAATATGAAATAAGTTTTAGGGGTCAGCAGGTAGCATGGTTGTTAAGGTGCTTGACTCCCACATGAACAACTACTATTTGAATCTCAGACCCAGTGGCTTAAAAAATTATGCCAGGTACATGTGCGCCCAAAATCCTTAGAGGAGAATAGAGGAGAAGGGGTTGATGAGTAGCCATCTTCCCAGGGGGTGATATTTCACTTTTCCTCTTTCTGTCTCTCAGGCAAGCGCACATGCCCTATGGCATAAAACTTAAAAAAATAAAAAGAAGAAGAAAAAAGTTTTAGAACATGACTAACACACATAATAGCATATTGAGGTACTTCAGAAAGTTTGTGGGAAAATGTAATTAAGGTATGAGTTTATTTTGGAGCAAAAAAAATTTGTGTTTTTTTTTGAGAGGTTTTTGCTATAGGGTGTGTGTACTCGCCAGAAAAACAGAGAGACAGAGAGACAGAAAGTGAGAAATCCCCCCTCCAGGGAGGATGGCCATGCCACAATCCCTTCTCCTCCATTCTCCTCTCAGGATCTTGGGCACGCGCACACACACGTGCCCGGTGTGAGTTTAAGCCACCGGGTCCGGGACTCGAACTGCGGTCAGCTACATGGGAGTTCAGCGACATAGCCGTTTCACTAACTGCTGGTCCCGATGCAAAAAAATTTAATCCATTTTTTTTTTAAGAGAGGTTTTAGCTATAGGGTATGTGCACTTGCCAGAAAGACTGAGAGAGATATGGAGACAGAAAGTGAGAAATCATCCCCCAGGAGGGATGGTCACACTGCAATCCCTTCTCCTTCATTCTCCTCTTGGGATTTTGGGCATGCATGCACGTGCAGCTGGTGTGAGTTTAAGCCACTGGGTCTGGGACTTGAACCACGGTCACCTATGTGGGAGTCCAGTGACATAGCCATTACACTATCTGCTGGTCCTCATGCAAAGTTTTTTTTATGTGCATCTTTCATAAACTTTTTTTAAGGAGGTGTTTGCTTTAGGCTACATGTACTTGAGAGAGAGACAGAGACAGTGAGAGAGAAAGTGAGAAATTACCACCTAGGATGATGGTCATGCCATAGTCTCCTCTCCTCCATTCTCCTCCTAGGATCTTGGGTATGCATGCTCATGTGCCTGGCATGAGTTTTAAGGCACCAAGTCCGAGACTTGAACTGTGGTTGGGCATGTGGGAGTCCAGCGACATAACAACTGCTAGTCCCTCGTAAACATTTTAAAGACTTTCCTTGCATAAAAAAGTAATGTGACAATTTTACAGACCAGTTCTTTTTTTTTTTTTTAAGAATTATTTTATTTAACTTTATTTATTTATTTTAATTTTTACCAGTGAGGGACAGAGAGAGAGAGAGAGAGAAAGAGAAAGCAAACCATCAGGTCCAAGACTCAAACTGTGGTTGGCCACGTGGGAGTCGAACATCCTTAACCACAGTGCCACCTACAGGTCCCTCTTCTTTAATTTTTTTTAAGAGACATTTTTGCTATAGGATGCATGTGCTTACCAGAAAGACAGAGAGACAGAAAGTGAGAAATCATCCCCCTGGGGGATGGTCATGCCACAATTCTTTCTTCCATTGGGATTTCGGGCACACGCGCACACTCTCCTGTCCTGAGTTTTAATCCACTGGGTCCAGGACTTGAACTGCAGTGAACTATGTGGGAGTCCAGTGACCTACCCATTACACCATCTGCTGGTCCTCACAAACCAGATCTTAACCTTTATTACAGACTGTACAGCCTGTTGTCTTCTATATATTTTTTCTTTTTCAAACATTTACTTATTTGTGATTTTCAAGCTGCCAAGTCTGGGACTTGAATCGCAGTCAGCCATGGGGAAATCCAGCGTTGTAACCACCATACCACCTGCTGGCCCCTCTATTTTTTTTCTAATACTGGTTTTAACTTGCTTAATTGATTTTTAAAAATGCTAAACTTTAGTAAACAAATAGTCATTTGTGAGTCCAGATTTGACTGTGAGTACTTACTGTTTTCTGGCTGCTATTCTAAGACATTTTGGTTTTGAAGTCTGAGCATTTATATATTTATCAAAAGCCCAGATAATTCTCATGTAGCCATGAACAAGTATTTGGGAACTACTAATAGATATAATCTAATAAAAACTAATTTAAAACTGAATGTACACCTTAAAAATCACTGAAAACCATAATTGTAACTCTTTAAAAGTCGTTTCTCTTTCATTAAAAAAGATCATTCATTACCTAAACTACCTGGACTGTAATATTCATATTATAAAATGTGGGGAACCACTTTATACAGTGATCAATAGTAAAGGACAATTTAATTTCTCTTGATTATAGTAAAAACTGGGCTGGGCAGTGCAATAAATTAAGTTCACCCTCTGGTTTGTTCCATTCAGTAGTGATCTTGTCTTCTTTGACACAGACCAGTTTATGTCTGACTTGGAACACCAGCCATCAGGCTCAGCAGAAAAATGGCCTAACCACAGTGAGCTCTCATGTCCAGCTCCTTTCTGGAGAATCTAGAGGGTGAGTGTTGATTGAAATGTGTCATTGTTTCTGTTGCCAAGTCTGGTGTTTGCATGCAATGGCTGGATTTGCATGTGCTACAGAGGAGGGGGTATGCACGAGCACCTTGATAGGCCTACTTACTATCTTTGGAGCTGCGTTTTGACTGTAAGACTCTGCTTTATAAGTCTAACCACATTCTCACATTTGCGCTTATAATTTTAGCCTGGGTTTGATTAAAAGGCAAGTATTTAATTAGATTTATTAAACCAAAGCAGAGAGAGGTTTTATATATATGTGTATTGTTTTTAGTTTTATTTATTTCATGACAGAAAGAAACAGAGAGATAGATACCTTTCCCATGCCGTGATCCTCCTGTCCAAACCTTCCAAGCCAGGATCACAAGCATGCACCACCACACCTAACATGTTCAGGTTGATCTGGAACATGAACCTGGGCATATATGTAACACACACATGTAACACACACACGACAGAGCAATTGGAGTCCTGGACCTGGTGGATTGAAAATCTTTCCTGGCACAGGTGCATGCATGCCCAAAACCCCAAGAAGAGAATGGAGGCAGAGGGATTGTGGCCCCCCTGGGGAGGGGTGATTTCTTACTTTTCCTGTCTCTCTCTGGAAAAAAATAAAAAAAGAAGATGTTAGACCATGCAAGAAAGAATTAGATATAGAGGGGAATGTTTGGTTTGGTTTGGTAGAGGCTTTTGCCTTAGGCACATGTGCTCTCACTGGGGAGAAAGAGACAGACAGAGACCGTGAGAGAGAAAATTTTAAAAATCTCCTTGGGGGGATGACCACACTACAGTCTCTTCTCCATTTTTCTCCCAGAATCTTGGGCACATAAGCACATGTACCTGGTATGTTTCAAGCCACCAAGTCTGGGACTCAAACCGTGGTCAGCCATGTGGGAGTCCAGCAATATAACTACTACACCATCTACTGGCCTCTGTTTGTTTTTAATTGCTGCATGGCATGTGTGCTTTGCATAGAGAGAGTGGAAAATGAGAAAGCATCCCGGGGAGATGGCCACACCAAAGTCCCTTCTCCTCCATTCTCCTCTTAGGATTCTGGAAATGCACACACACACTCTGTCGTGTTTTTCAAGTTGCCAGGTCCAGGACTTGAACCATGGACTTAGTCATGTGGGAACCAGCTGCCTTAACCACCACACCACCAGGCTCACTTGGTCTAGTGTTTTTATTCATTTGGTTATTTGCTTTTATGAGATAGACTTTCCCATGTTAACTGATGAGAAGGATCCAGGAGGGAAGATGGGTTGATTGAGACTGATTAAAGATATGGAAAATGGAGGTCCAGCTGCATGGCCTAGTGGTTAAAGGAGTTGTATACCACATAACTGACTGCATTGTTCAAATTCTGGTGCTAGGAACTTAACAAACATCAGGTGTGTGTGTGTTTGTGTGTGTATGGGCCCAAAATCCCAATAGGATGGAGAATGAAGGACAAGGGATTTCAGAGTGACCAAAGCCCTGTTGTAGGGGTACTTCTCTCTCTCCTTCTTTCTCTGTCTTTGTTTCTCCCCAGTGAGCATACACATCCTCTTGCAAATTTGGGGATAAAAATTTTATGGAAAATGAAAATGGACAGCATATGTTCTTGAAGAAGATCTAGAGTGAAAGTGGTAGAATGAGTTGTGTGGATTTATGGCTCTAGAGCTCATATTTGACCCATAGAGATAATAGATTTGAAAGTTAACAATGGGCAAGGTTATTCAAAGAAAATATACAAAGTTAAAAACAAAACAGAGAAAAGAGGTTCTTCTTTTAATAATTCAGAAATTGTCCGACATCTGGGACTAGCACTTAGTGTAATGGCTATGTCGCTGGACTCCCACGTAGTTGACCGCAGTTCGCGTCCCGGACCCAGTGGCTTGAACCTCACGCCGCCCACGTGTGCATGTGTGCCTAAGATCCCGAGAGGAGAATGGAGGAGAAGGGATTGTGGCGTGGCCATCCCCCCTGGCGGGTGATTTCTCGCTTTCTGTCTCTCTCTCTCTGTCTGGCAAGCACATGCGCCCTATAGCAAAAAACTCTTAAAAAAAAAAAAAGAAGAAAAAGAAATTGTCCCACATCTTAATCCATATTGAAAAGAAGTGTTCATTTTTTCACATTTCAATCTTTACTGATACCAAAGGGTGCATGCTGATACTTGATTATACTTTCAAGTACCTATGTACTGTTTAATCAGCTGAAGCTTTGATGTTTGTCTTTGAATAACCATTTTGAGTTATAAACGTTTCTAGAGGGAAGATCTGTATGACACTACTTGTGGCATCACAGACGACAGAGATTTCTTAAAAAGATTGGACTGGGGCTAGCAGGTGGCATGGTGGTTAAGGGCGCTGGACTCCCACATGGCTGACTGCGGTTTGAGTCCTTGACCTGGTGACTTGCTTTTTCACTTTCTCTCTCTCTCACTTTATCCCTCTCTAGTGAAATAAAAACAAAAAAGAAATAAAGTGAAATAAAATAATTCTTTAGGGACCAGCAGTTAGCGTAATGGCAGTACGTATCTACTGCATGATGCTGGCTTGTTGAGAGGCTAGGGCGAGAGGACCGTGGCATGGCAAGATCCTCTCAAGGGTTACCTGTCATGAAAAACATAAAACAACAAACCCTGGCTCTGATTATTTTTTTGAAAAGTAGAGGGGCATGAGAGAGCTTAAGCTGGCTGTCTTGGTTCTTGCTTAATATACTCAATAATGGGGACCATCAGGTGGTGCTGGTGGTTAAAGGCGCTGGACTCCCACATGACTGACCATGGCTCGAGTCCTGGACCTGGTGGCTTGCTTTCTTACTTCCTCTCTTTCTCTCTCTCTCTCTCTCTCTCTCTCTCCTCTGTCTCACTCTCTGTCTCACTCTCTGTCTCACTCTGGTCAAATTAAAAACAGCAATAATAATTTTTAAAAACAAAATTATTATTAAAACAACAATGTTTCAGTGTTACCACTGGTGTTACCATATAGTGGTGAGATTTATTTTTGTTAATAATATTAGCTGAGGGGCCGGTAGGTAGTGTGGTAGTTAAGGGTTCTGGACTCCCACATGGCCATCTGTGGTTTGGGTCCTGGACCTGACAGCTTGGTTTCTCAGTTTCCATCTCTCTCTCTCTCACTCTGTCCCTCTCTGGTCAAATTAAATAAATAAGTAAATGGATAAATAAAGTTAAATATTCTTTTTAAAAATATTAGCTGAGTTAGTTTAATAGCGGTCCTAAAGTACAGTGGCTTAACCACATAGGCAGTTTCTCTCACACCTCATGGTAATTTAGAAATCAGGATTCTTTTTTATTTTTATTTTTTCTGTTTCTCCTAATGTTTTGTCAAAGCAAAGTCAAAGTCACTTTGACTAAGTCTTAACCCAAAGCAAGGGGTAGGGGAAGAAGAAGGTGGGAAGCCAAACAAGTGATTAGGAAGATGTATACATCACTTTTTCCACATTTAATTGGAGAAAGTTAATTGTGTGACTGTACATAGCTGCATAAGGAAGCTGAGAAATACATGAGGTCTTCAAAAACTTTGTGGAGGGACCAGCAGTTAGCGTAACGGCTATGTTGCTGAACTCCCATGTAGCCGACTGCAGTTCGAGTCCCGGACCCGGTGGCTTAAACTCACGCTGGGCGCGTGTGCATGCATGCCCAAGATTCCGAGAGGAGAATGGAGGAGAAGGGATTGTGGTGTGGCCATCCTGCCCTGGGGGGTGATTTCTCACTTTCTATCTCTCTGTCTTTGGCGAACACATGTGCCAAAAAAGAACCCCCAAAAAAAAAAAAAAAAAAAAAAAAAAACTTTATGGAGTGACCAGCCAGATGGCATAATGGCTATGTCGCTGGACTCCCATGTAGTCGACTGCGATTTGAATCTCGGACTCGGTGGCTTAAACGCATGCCAGGCACGTGTGCATGCATGCCCAAAGTCCTGAGAGGAGAATGGGGAGAAGGGATTGTGATGTGGCCATCCCCCTGGGGGGTGGTTTCTCACTTTCTGTCTCTCTCTTTCTGGCAAGCCCACACGCCCTATACCAAAAACCTCTCTCAAAAAAAAAAAAAAGAAGCTTCGTGGGAAATGTATGTTATGGGAAAATTGCATTGATTTATTTTTCTACACTGAAGAAACTTGTACTTTAATTATATTTTTCCATTACCTTTTTTTTGAGAGGTTTTTGCTATAAGGGCGCATGCACTCGCCAGAAAGAGAGGCAGAGATATAAAAAGCGAGAAATCACCCCTCCAGGGGGGGATGGCCATGCTGCAGTTCCTTCTCCATTCTCCTCTTGGGATCTTGGGCACGCACACACACATGCCTGGCGTGAGTTTAAGCCACCGGGTCCCGGACTCGAACCGCAGTCGACTACATAGGAGTCCAGTGACATAGCCATTATGCTAACTACTGGTCCCTGAAGTCTGTACTTGTGTGGCCTTATGACTGGCCAAACTTCAGTAACTAGAGAATGAATTGAAGTAGTTAGCAGTCCATCAGGCACCTCTTAAATTTTCAGGAACATATTACTGACCTTGGAAGACAAGTTAGTCAGATTTTGATAAATGTGAATTCTTCGGCTCATGCTGTGAATAGGCAACTTCAGTATCTTACGTGTTTAGATGATGTTCTTATAACTTACCAAATAACTTAAAAATAAATATTGTTTGGGGCCAGCAGGTGGCATGGTAGTTAAGGGTGCTGGACTCCCACATGGCTGATCACAGCTCAGGTCCTGGACCTGACAGCTTGCTTTCTCATTTCCTTCTCTTTCTCTCTCATACTCTGTCCCTCTCTGGTCAAATTTAAAAAACAAACAAACAAAAAGGATAAAGTTAAATAAAACAATTTTTTAAAAATAAAGTTAAATAAAAGCTTAAAAAACAAAATAAATCTTAGTAAAACTGTATATAGATGGCCCAGCTGCAGTGAAAGAGGTGGGGCACCACTGTGCAATATGAGAGCCACATGAGAAGGGCCAGGGTTTGGTTCCCAGGTC